ATTTTGATGGGGCGCTACCAGTAGCGTACCCGGGGAGTGGGCGGCCAGCCCCCCAAATACTGCGAACTCAGCGGAAAACCAGTCAAGAGAGGCTGGTTTGTCGGCATCAGCGCTCCCACAGGGGGTAGTTGTTCCGGACTCAGGCCGGGAAACTCCACCCCCTGCGAGTTGGAAATCCACGCCTGGTCACATCCGCACTCCCCCCGATCCGCACTCCGCCCCGGTACAGGGCGGCGATCGTGCCCAATCCGGAAATTTCATTCCTCCAGAATGAAATCCGGGCCATGCAATCAAAGGTCCATCACGCGACGAGCTCCGCTCCGGACATCACCGAGTTATCGAGGAATCAAAGCGAACTCGTTTCTCACCAAGAATCTCGACAATGCGTATCAAGGACGCACGAAAAGTCAAGTTTCTCAGTTATGAGGGGAAAGGGGACCACAAAGTTCACCTTCACACTTTCCTCCTCACGGTTGGAAGGGTGGACTTCGAGCCTCATGAGGAAGATGCGGGGTATTGCAAGCTCTTCACCGAAACATTTGTCGGGCCAGCCCTCCTATGGTTCGCTTCGCTTCAGGAGGGCACGATCGATAGTTTCACCCAGCTCTCCACTACATTCGTGAAGCAGTATTCAAGTTTCATAGGAGTTGGTGTGACCGATGCTCAGCTATGGAATCTAAGTCAAGGTCCGAATGATTCACTACGGTCTTACATTACTAAGTTTAAAGAGATAATGGTCCAGATTCCCGGGCTTCCCGATTCGGCGGTATTGTCCGCCCTGAAGAATGGGTTGTGGCACGAATCTCGGCTCAGGGAAGAGTTGACGGTCAACCGCCCCTCCAGTGTCCAGGACGCCCTTCACCGAGCATCGAACTGGATCGTGGCAGAGGAGGAGAAAGCCGCACTCGCTAAGAAATACAAAGTAACTCCCAAGCTGAGCTTTGATCAAGGAGCTAGGCGAGGCTCGCAGGGACAAAGACCGGGGCCTGCCACATTCGCTGTGGATCACCAGAAAGGGGGTCCGAAGAGCACCACGTTAAAACGAGGATTCAGACCGCGGGGCAAGAATGGGACCTTACCCAGCAATAAGTGGACCAGGGAGGAACAGGAAGATGACTCCTTCTGCGAACTTCACAAGGTGGCTGGACACGCCACTCGGAACTGCAAGAAACTCATGCATCTGCTCGCATAAAGGTTCATGAACGGGGGAATGCCGGATATAACGATCGATGAGCTCGACCAAGCATAGAATGCGGTCCAACTCGTAGCCGAAGCAGCTCCCGAGGAAGAGGAGCTCCCCCCGGCCAAAACACCAAAGGCACTCATCGAAGAAATCCCCCAAGGGGCAAAGAAGCGTATCGATGTGATTATGGGTGGGTCCAGGATATTCTGAAATTCTATTAGGGCTATTAAAGATCATCAGAGGAAGCTGAGCGGGTCAATTCCGAAGAGGCAGAAGACGTGCGAGGTGTACCCCGAGATAACCTTCTCGGAAGAGGAAACGAAGGACCTTGACGCCCCTCATGATGATGCGCTAGTCATTACCTTGGATGTGGCAAACCACGAAGTATGTAGGATATTGGTTGACACAGGGAGTTCGGTGGACCTAATCTTCCTGGACACCCTTACGAGAATGGGCATAGACAGGAGTCACATTATCGGACCTCCAGCTCCCCTGGTGTCATTCACTAGCGAAACCTCGATGTCCCTTGGAACAATAACCCTCCCGGTTGCCGCGCAGGGGGTGTCTAAAATGGTAGAGTTCACCGTCTTCGAACGACTAGCGGCCTATAATGCTATTCTAGGAACTCAATGGTTATACCAGATGAAGGCGGTTCCGTCCACCTATCACCAATGCGTTAAGTTTAAGACGCCTAACAGAGTTCGTGAGATACTGGGTAGCCAGCGTACGGCCAGGAGCTGCTATCTGGCCGGGCACAAACTCCTGATCCAATAGCAACCACAGCTCGAGGCCGCCAGAAACCCAATGAAGAGTAGGATGAACGGCGACCTCTACAAAGAAATCGAGCTCAATGAGTTATTCCCCGACCAAAAAGTAAGAATTGGGGCAGGCTTGTCTCCCGAGGTGAAAGAGGAGTTAATTAGCTTCTTGCGAAGAAATAAGACAACCTTTGCCTGGAAGATAAAAGAGATGATTGGTATTAGCACCGACGTGATAACTCACGAACTCAACGTCAACCCCAATTTCAAGCCAGTTCGGCAGAAACGAAGGAAATTGGGCAAAGAGCGGGCTGACGTGGTGAATGCTGAGGTAGACCGCCTGCTCGAAGCCGGCCTTATCCGGGAAGTCCAGTACCCGGAATGGCTGGCGAACATGGTGGTAGTCAAGAAGAAGAATGGCAAGTCTCGGGTTTGCGTCGATTTCACCGACCTGAATCAGGCTTGCCCGAAGGACAGTTTCCCTCTCCCGCACATCGACCGACTAGTAGAGTCGACTTTGGGTCATGAATTGTTAACATTCATGGACGCTTTTTCAGGGTATAATCAAATCATGATGCACCCCGACGACCAGGAAAAGACATCTTTTATCACAGATCGAGGTACTTTCTGCTACAAGGTGATGCCGTTCGGGTTGAAGAATGCCGGAGCTACCTACCAACGGTTAGTGAACATGATGTTTGCCGAGCTGTTGGGAAAAACTATGGAGGTTTATATTGACAATATGTTGGTGAAATCGATGGAATCCAGCCAGCACGTCGGACATCTCGAGGACTGCTTTGCGATACTCAACAAATTCGGCATGAAGTTGAACCCGACCAAGTGCACGTTTGCGGTCCCCTCGGGGGAGTTCCTGGGTTATATTGTGACAGAGAGGGGAATCGAGGAGAATCCTAGGCAGATTAAAGCCTTCCTGTCGATGAGTTCGCCGCGTAGCCTCCGTGAAGTCCAACGCCTGATTGGGAGGATTGCGGCCCTGAATAGGTTTATTTCGAGGTCCACAGATAAATGCTTGCCTTTCTTTGAACTCCTCCGGAAAGGGAACAAGAACTTTCTGTGGGATGAGAAGTGTGAGGAAGCATTTGGGCAGCTCAAACAATATTTGTCTAACCCTCCTGTTCTTGCTAAACCCGAGCTTGGGGAGCCTCTATTCTTGTATGTCGCCGTATCCAAGCACGCGGTGAGCGGGGTATTAGTACGGGAAGAGAGGGGGGGAACAAAGGCCGGTATTCTATACGAGCAAAACCTTTATGGGAGCCGAAGTTCGCTACCCTATGATGGAGAAATTAGCTTTGGCTGTGGTCACCGTAGCTCAGAAGCTCCGACCATATTTCCAGTCTCATACGATCGTGATTCTAACTTCGCAGCCAATGCGAACTATTCTCCATAGTCCTAGTCAGTCCGGGCGGATGGCAAAATGGGCAATTGAGCTCATCGAGTATGACCTAGAATTCCGGGCTCGAACTGCCGCCAAATCGCAAGTACTCGCCGATTTCATAATCAAGCTGCCTATCGCCGGCACAAAAGGCAAGGAGGAAGGACCATGGACGATGCATGTGGACGGAGCCTCGTCCAAACAAGGGAGTGGCGTCGGAGTGAGGCTTTGCGCACCCACCAACGAGGTGTTTGAACAATCTTTTAGATGAGCGTTCGATGCGTCGAACAACGAAGCTGAGTATGAGGCGCTACTGGCTGGGCTCCGGCTCGCCATAGGGATTGGAGTTCCTCGGCTTCGCGCCTTCTGCGACTCGCAGCTTGTGGCGAGCCAACTTTCGGGGGAGTATGAAGCAAAGGACGGGCGCATGGGAGCCTACTTAGCCGCAGCGAGGGAACTAGCCGAACGTTTCGAGCACTTCGAGTTAGTAAAAATTCCTAGGGCAGAGAACTCAGCTGCCGACTCATTGGTGTCTCTCGCCTCAACTTCCGACCCTGCCTACACACGGATTATTCCGGTAGAGGTCCTGGAGCGCCCTAGTGTGTGCTTGAGCGAGGTGAATGTCTTGACAAGGTCGATGCAGCGACGGCTCGACAGAGGGGAAATAGTGCCTGAGATGCCCGTCATACCCTCCAGGGTCGCTAGACCTCGAAGGAATGCCCCAATACCGGAGGATCTTCCTGCTCCCACGAGCGAAGAACCGACCGAGTCATTGGCCGGAACTCCGACAGCCCGGCTCCCTTGTGGCGAAGAACACAGGGGGAAGGGCCGGGAAGTTTCTCGGATCTCCCGGAGGAAAACCCGGAGTTAGACTGGAAAACCCCCATCCTAGCTTACCTAAGAAGGGGCGAGCTACCTACGGATAAATGGCAAGCTCGAAAGGTTAGAACTATCTCGGCCCGTTTCTGCTTGCATAACGAGGGTTTACTCGGTCGTAGCATTGGGGGTCCTTACTTAACTTGCATTGCGGGGGAGTCGCCGGGGATAGTGATGAGGTCAATCCATGATGGGCCCAACGGAGACCATGCGGGAGCTCGAACACTAGTAATCAAAGTTAAGCGATACGGTTTTTTCTGGCCAACAATGAGGGGTCGCGACCTCAACGTGGGTGACCTCGTGCTAAGGAAGGTTTACGAAAATACCAAGGAGCTTAACGCTGGAAAACTTGGCGTAAACTGGGAAGGCCCTTACAAAATCACGTCCGAAGTACGTAACGGGGTTTACCGCCTGGAGGAGCTGACCGGAAAAAAGATCCCCAGGTCATGGAATGCCCTGCATCTGAAGCGATTCTATACTTTTTAAAGTAAAATAGTAACACTTGTAATCGAATTATTGTGTGCTTGATCCCTTATTGGGTACGTAGGCAGCTCGGTTTGTCGAGTTCAGCTAAGTAATAATATAAATTTCATATTAAGGAAGCTGGCACAAAAGTCAACGAAAATAACTTAGCAAAAAGAGAAAACAAGCAGTTTCTTTTCAAAGCAAAAAAGGGAAAAGAGTGCGGCCTCCGTGGCCAAAAACACTCAAGACATAGTGATCCATCGAGTTCGGAGAGCAAGTAGAACGCAAAAAAAAAAAAAAAAGTCACAGACATAGAGGGGGGTCTAAGACCAAAACAACCCCGGAGTCCGCAGTAGGGGCTTCGGAACGAACCAGAGGAGTGCCAAGTTCGGGGTCCGCAACGGGGGCTTCAGAACAACTCAGAGGAATGCCAGCCGCCTCATCCACCAAAGCTTCGTCACCCCCGGCATTCATAAAGTCATTGACCTCCTTACTAAGGCCCGGCTTGATGGCCTCCAGTTCCTGATTCGTTACAACAGGAGGATCAGAAGTAGGCTCCTCGATCATAAGGGGAGCGGAAGTGGGGTCGGGCCCGAGCTCGGGGGGAGTATCTGCCAAAAGGGCAGTGAGTGATGAAGGGTCAAACTTCAAATCCTTTACCTTTTCAGCCTCGAGGTGAGCAGCCTTCTCATCAGCCTTCAAGGTCTCGAGCTCCTCTTTCAGGTCGGCAATCTCGCCCTTCTCGATTTCTTCCACCAACATCCGGTTGGCAGTGATCTCTGCAGCTCGAGGTGCGTCCCGATCTTATCGATTGTCTCCCGAAGCTCAGCTCGCGTTTTCCTCCGCTCCTCCCTTCGAACTCTTTCCATCTCGGAGCCATTCCCTGCTTCCAGGAGCTGGTTTCTGAGTTTAATCTCCTGGAGTTCCTTCTTCGCCTCCGTCTCAGCGGTGGTCGCCTTCAGGTAAAGCTCCCCGGCCAGCTTTAACTTGTCTTGGCAAGTTTCCAGGTCAGACTCAGCAATCTGTAGGTCGAGCTCGACGGACTTGAGTTTCTTGCTGAATTTAGCCGCCCTCTCCATCTCGGCTCGGTTGGCAGCATCCAGGGACTTGTATTTCTTCACTTCCTTCTCTAAGTCTGCAATTCGAGATTGAAGGGCCCCGATTTCTGTGGCGGAGGGGCTGGCGAAGAGCTGCTCTTCGTACTGGGCTACTGAGCTGTTGAATTCAAAGAGCATCTGCCGAAAGAACGAAAGTGTTTATAAAGTAGGGGGGAGATAACTTGCGAAGTAAAGGAAAGCAATCTTACCTCGCCAACCTTCTCGGCGAAGCGGAAGTAGTCTTCCCGGTTGCTCAAGGACATGTCCTTAAAGGCAGGAACCCGAGCTCCGGGACGGCTGAAGCTCCTCATCATGTCCGCCAAGGATTTCGGCGGAGCTAATAAAATGTTTTACGTCAATCTAGAGAAACATATATATAGAAAGAGCGAGCTATTGATAAATGGTTTACCTGGAAGTTCGCGCCTCGGGGTCATTTTCGGGTCGGCGGAGCTCGGACCCGCGGGTGAAGAGCCCTTTGGAGCCGGAGTTTCGGCAACCTTCTCTTCAGGTCGGAGGCGGGAGCTCGCACACGTAGGAAGCGCAGGATCTGCTGCCTTCCTCTTCTTAGTACCACTGGACTGACCCTCCTCACGAACTGGACGAGGGGCGGGGAAGTCGGCACTGAGGTCGCTGTCAGGCAAAGTTATCACTTCGCGACCTGAGCCCTCTGGAGGAACGGCTGAACTGGAAGACTTCTCTTTCGAGGGAGCTTGGGTTTTGGTGCCCGATAGCGCAGCGACCATTTTCTTCTTCAGCTCTTTCTCCTTCAGCTCCATCTTCTTTTTGTAAGCTCGCTCCTAGGTGCAGCTTGGGGGGGAGGAGATGGTGAGAAAACTAGTGCGAATGCGGGCTCCGGCCTCGCGAATTCTAGGGCAAGTAAAAGAATCCCACGCGGTTTGGCCGCCACCGAACGTGACGAAGTAATCCGCGAAGGTTTCGGACAGGAACCCGCGGTCAAGAGAGGCTGCAAAAAAAAAAAAAACAAAGATAGAGTTATTACTCCGAACTGATGAAAATGAACGGGAGAGCTCAGATGCAGAAAGCTTTCGAATCTCCTCGCAATTCTACCAGGTTTTTGGGACCAATGCGGGAAAAATAGCTCCTGCAGGTCGCCAAAGGTATCCCGGTTGATCGGGAAGAAGAAGTAGCCGCCCCGGTACTGCTCGTCCTTCCCGGGAAAGTCGTCAAAAACCCGAAGTCCGGCCAACGGGCTGAGATAGAAAGTCCCCCTGGTCCGGCCACTCTTTATCGTGTAAAGGTGGAGTATGTCTTGGAAGGTGATGAGATAGCCGTGCTCCTCCGCCAGGGTCTGCAGGCAGAGAAGGGTCCGAACAAAGTTCGGGCATAGCTGGGGAAGGGCAACGCCTAGGGCGAACATCGCCTTCACCAGAAGCTCCGGCAGAGGGAAGTAGAGGCCGCACTTCGAGAAAAAGATCTCGTAGGCGCAGCAATAACCGGGCGGAGGGTCCTCCGGTGAAAGATCGTCTCCCGGAGCGATGAGCTCCGTCTCCGACGTGAGGCCGCAGAGGAACTTCACGTGTACAAGGTCCTCCTCGGCGATAGTTGATCGGGGATGAGGACTGAATTGCCCGGAGAGGGAAGTGTCTCCGGCTTGTGGAGCTTGCTTCGGCGAAGTCATGGCGAGGCAAGCAAGAGGGAAAGTAAGAAGATTCGAAAGCTATTCGGTTTTGCCGGAGAAAGCAGAAGGAAACTAGAGGAAGACGAAGACGAGAGAGAAAACTAAAAAGAAAACGAAGGAAAAGGAGTTTACCTTTATATTGTCTCGGCGGCCGTGGTGTGATGATTGCCTAGGAAAGCTATAAGGTCGTGGTCTTTATACCCGACAACCTAGGGATTTCGAAGCGGCAAAACCAGGGCACGGGAATCCGAAAAGGAAACCTCGAGGGAAAACAAATCAATCATATCAAAACTCGGAAATCGCAGTTTCTTTAATTGTGCCGCATTTAAGTCTCCCGAACTAAACCACTTCGCAAGACTTGGGGGGCTTACTGTGGGTACCTGAATTAGTACCCGGCTCGGCAGCCCACTTCGGAGGACGGCCCGCGAGCAAAAGCCCGTTTCCGGAATCACCTGGCCCATTGGGAGAAGTCCAGTAGGAATTTGAATGGCTAAAGAGAAGAATCGAAACGGGCCATCTGCAGGTCAAAGGACGTCTTAATGAAGGCGAGATTCACGGAGCGGAGTCCGGGGAAATAGTAATTACTCGCCATCGTTGTATAAATAGAGGGTTAGGACAAAGTGTAAAAGGGATCGAATTTTCTTGTGAATGGACTTAATAAAGCAAAACAGTTTTCTTTTCGTTTCTCGCTATATTACTCACGAGTTCGGACAGGGAATCAGGAACCCACTCAAGTTAAACCCGTTTCCACTTCGTGGATTTCAGCTCCCACAGTTACGAAAAGAGAGCTTGTCTTTGAAAGGGATAATGTTCATTGAAATGCCTAATCTTTATGAATAAAAGACTAGCACCATCGTCGGTTTAACTTTAGGTACTATTGCGAAAACTTGAAATATCGTGAAGCCTTACAAGTTAGTCGTAGAAGAAAAGAAGAGCATAGTGTCTGGTCAGAGCGACCTTTTACCCTCATAGCGAAGTTTATACCACTAGACTAGAGAGATTTTTGGAAATTTAGGGTCGAAAATGCTTTATAAAAAGAAAGGCCGCAAGCATATGTTTCATGGGCTTGGCGTTTGGGCCGGCTCTATGTCTGTTTAATCTCATGTAGGTTTATTTAGTCTCTATGAATTCTATTAAGCATCAGCAAAAACACCACAAATTTTAAAGTAGAATGTACTGACCCGTTACAGACAAAATGTATCATTCGTTTTGACAAGAAAGATATTAAACCTTGAGTTTAAGTCAACAATTAGTAAATTATATTACATATAAACATTTGAACATTATTAATCATTCTTGTAATGAATTTTCACATTTCAACCTCACTATAAGGAGAAAGAGTAGTGAATAAAATTTTACCTCTTACTGGATTTGGGAAATGTAAGGTATGAACGTTAGAATCAATCCTACGAGCTGTACCAAGTTCAACACCAAGAACACCATCTCATCACCTACGTGTGTATTGTTCAAAGAGAGATTCAAACACCGTCTTTTCGGATGAAATATTCGATGATGATCCGCGGGTTTCTAAACACCGCTATAATGTTTTTAAGTTAACATGAACTTGGTATTAGATTATGGGCTTCCAACTTAAAACTAATTGGTTGTGAGTGGAGAGACTACTAGTCATGATCCTACTCAACTTCCAATGTGAGATATTTATCGCTAATACTTGGGTGCCAAATTTTCACCTGGAAGGAAAGACGCGTCTTGTCTCTTTTGCGCCCATGAGAATCTGCAGAGTTAACAAAACAAAGGAGAAATGAGAATTAGCAAAATACAAAAAACGTAGTTCAAGAAGTAGAACGTTGAAGCTTGTATATATCTTGTACTTGTTACTAGTATTTGCAAGAATTTGAGTGTGTTTTTTTCTGCTATAGTGTTACATAAAGATATCGAAATTTCCAAGAATACTTACAGGGCACCTCCACCGGCAGGGCCAAATGATTTGAAAACAGACATTGCAGTCATAGAAATGCCATTAGCAGCACCTCTCTGATTCTGAGGCTGAGATGTCATACCAAAGAAAAATAAGCATAAGCCTCGGCAGATGAAGTCACCGATATAAAAACATCGATAGCTATAAAGGTAAAGAAAAGGGTGCACCAATACACAAGTCCAAGAACCATACCACAGCCTTGTTCAACATGATAAACAGTCCAGTGACTAGAGAGATCTACACATATCACAGAAACTTATCTCAAATCTTGCTTATTGTTCAATAAGGAGATATTAAGCACAAAAAGCCTAAGGGTTATAACAAGAACTCACAGACAAAGCGTTTTTCAAGATAGATGCACAATTTATCACCAAATGTAGAGTCATCCCAGAAAGCAAAGCTATATAGGGGTAACAAGAAAGCAGCGGTATCAACAATACCTGAACATCACAATGTAAAAAAATCAGCAAGACTCACTATAACAAACCAAAGATCCATCATTCACAAATCAAGAAACTTCAACCACGGTTTTACCGCGGAAAGACGTATAAGCACAAGAAGTCCCAGGGCCTTCTTTAAAGGTGGGTATACCAAAAGTTGAAACAATAGAAGCCCAAGTCCTGAAAATATGGTAACTCAAATCATGAGGAACATCCAAAGAGAGATATGGATAGACAATAACAAACGAAAGAAACAGAGTTGTAAAACTATATACTAACATAGACCATGTAGGTTAAAGAAGATCTTGATATAGACCTGATATAGCTAAAACTTGGCCAACATCTTGGGATGAGAAACTCAATCCTCCATAGCTTCTATCACTAACTGCCCAGAGTGAGAAGATCTTGCAAAGGTATCAAGAAAAGGGTAAATTCATAAATAAAATTTCCTATGCAAAGTTTAAAACTTTTACTGATACTCTCGACAGAGCACCAAAATTATCGATATCTTAAAGTAAAGCCGCGACGAATATTTGAAAGAGAGGAACCTATAAAACTAGTTATGTCCTAGTAAAGAACCAACCAAAAAGCTACAATTTAAGATAATCAAATGAGTTTTTGGTAATAGAATTGTAACTATATATCTTACCTCTGAGTAAGCTATCTCTTGGAGGGAGAAAACACAATATACAATGATGATAGCCATCAATGGAAGATTCCTCAGAAGACTAGGCTTACTAATTATCTTCTGGTCATCAAGTCCTTCTCCTCTGCTTTCATCATCATTTAGTCTTCCGCGTGCAATTCCACATCGGGTATGTAGTGTTTCCTACATATAGTTATAAAGAGATTATAAGCCTATTGTTGTGAGTTAACATTTTCAGTCTTAGCTTCATCTATATCATAATATGGTTAAGTCATACATCACACTATAGCTCTTGAACTTCAAAAGAACTCATTTCATGATCACAGCATTGCAAAGACTTTATAACAAAGTACATTATCTTATTTATCATACTCACAGGAAGCCACCAGCAAGCAATGAAAACCCCAGTAGCATAGACTGATATAACTAAGCTCGGTAGAAAATATGGTAACCTGTTAAAGCACAACATCAAGAACCTATTGAGAAAACCAAATTTGCTAGCATTTTGAAAAATGGATGGAGAAAGAAATAGTAAATGTACTATACCTCCCAAAAATTGAACTCTGAGAAAATATATTTGGGTACTTCTCTGCAGGCTAAACAAAACATGAAAACAGAAACCAAGTCAGCTAAGCAGAAAAGAAAAGTCGAGTTTTTCGATATGTTTACTGATCAGATTCTAGAGTCAAGTGTGTGTACCTGAGCAAGATAGCCTCCAATAGCAGGACCTAGTATCAATCCTATACCTCTCGATGTACTTACCTGAGAAAATGCAAGATAAAGTAAAAATTGGCGGCAATAGCGATGTTTCGAAAAAAAAAAAAAAACTAGATAAAAGCCTTACAACAGAAAGACTAAGAGCGTTGTACTCTTCACTAACAACTTCTGAAGCATATGCCTGAAACATGGTAAAAGAACAATAGAATCCATCTTTAGTAAATGCAACATAGCAAACCGAAGAAACCTTACACTTACGATGATCCTTCAAAGGACTAAGACATACCCTTATAACTCCAAGTAAACAATTGAAACAGCCAAGAAGAAATCTAAAGGAAACCGCAAGCCAGAAACTTGTACTTAGACCAAAGAGAGTATTGAATATGATCCTGAAAAGAATCAAACAGCTGATTTAAAAAAACTCTGCAAACAAGAAAAAAAATGAATAATCTAAACTCTGATGAATCTGTACACTGAGAAAGTCCCAATAAGAATAATCGGTTTGCGACCATATCGATCAGCTAACTTCCCCCAGAAGATAGATGTCAAAGCTCTTCCAATCATGAATGATGATCCTAACAAAGTTATCAAGAAACATCAAGAACATCAAGAAACATCAAGAAACATCAAGAATCTTCCAAGATTATTGATCAAGCAATAACAAATAGCCTAAGACTAGTACTCAAGAAACATCAAGAAAGCTTTCAAGATTAGTACTCAAGCAACAACAACAAATAGATTTAAGACAAGAATAAAAATTACCAACAAAACCAGCATAGAAACCAATATCTTCTTCTTGTTTAGCAATACCAAAGTCTCTGATCTGCCACAAACACATTTGTACATTACAAAAACCAAACTAGTCCCAAAAAAAACAATTTTGAAAGTGTTAACTAAAACTTACCATGAAATAAAGATATGGAAACAGAGAAGATATTGGTAAAGCTGAAATAACCCACACAAAAAAAAAAGTTATAGACATGAGTATGAATCACTTTGCAAGCAAGTGTTTGTAAAAATTCCTAAAAGTGAAATAATTGTTAACCAGTGCAAAGTGAGACAAGCCAGATGAAAGAGAGGTGTAAGTAAGGGACTCCTTGTTGCTGTCTCTTAGTTTGATCAATGATACAGCCAGGGCAAGCTTCGTTCTTCTCTAACAGGTTGGTTCGTGACTCATCATCATCGGCCATGGTATTGGAACCACCGAGTCGGAGAAGTGTTATAATAATACGTTGATTGATAATATTTAATTTTCATG